CATTGGTGTTTGGATCAAAGTCGAGGTGACACTTCTCCTCTTATTCGATCATGAGCACATCGTCTAATGAAAAACCCTAGAGATCTTCATCTTCCCTGTCATGTTCGACATAGACAATGGGAGTATCAATAACTTGAATGCGCATAGGGGAGGAATTAATGGTGATTGGAATCCCTTTAACTATAGCTTTCACCTTTTGGTGAAGTGATGACGGAATCACCCGCAGCTCATGAAGCCAAGGACGTCCTAACAACAAATTGAAAGAAGCCTTAATGTCCACCACCTGAAACTTGGTGCGACTTTCAATGGCTCCAGTAGTTATATTTAACATGATAGTACCCACAGCTTGGCGGCGAGTATCATCATAAGCACGAATCCCCTAAGTAGAGGGAATCAATTCTTCATTTTTATGCCCAACTTCTTTGTAGTGTGGAGTGGGCATACTTTGATTGCTAAGCCATTATCAACCAGGCTCATAGGAACATTCATCTGCCTACACACCACAGTGAGGCGTAAGGTCTTGTTATGTTCGTCCCCTTCCGAGGCCGGGGACAGATCCTTGTTAGAGAAAGAAATCAGATTACAAGTACTTGGCAATTAAGTAGTGAGAAAGCAAACCAGCCCTTGAGGAGTCATATCACTATCAACTCCTATTTTCACCAGAGCATTCATCATAGTCTTTCGATGCTCGTGGAAGGTGGCCAAAATCTTCCATAAATTCATTTCCACCTTAGTCTTTTGTAATTGTTTAATCACATCGTTGTTCACAGGGTCGATGGGATCAACTATTGGTTGTTATTGTGGTGGAGGTGCACTAGGCTGTTGAAACCATCCATTTTTGGTGAGAACCTTGACCTCAAGGTCTCCCTAAACATATCCACTAGTGCCAAGAGATGAAAGGCTATATCTTTGAGATAGACGTCTTCGTCATCACTATGCCAAATTCCATTCACTTCTTCACACTTTGAAACAAATACAACTTTTGGTAGAGGTTCATTCACAGGTTGAATGAGTATTGACGAATCAAAGGAGACTTCGTCTCCCATGATGGCCAAAGCATTAGAAAGGGGACCTGTTTGAATATTGGGCTTCTTGCCCCCTAGAGGGACAGGAAGTTTATTAGCATCAATCAGGTCTTGGATTTCATCCTTCAACCTCCAACACTTCTTAGTAGTACGACCTTTGCCTTGATGAAACTTGCAATGAGAATTGGGGTCATAGCTAGAAGTTTTGTTCTCTAGTCGAGGTTCTGGAAAGGGTCCAATTGGCATAATTAGTCCTTCACTATGCAAGCGATAAAAGCGACATCGTAGCTCATTCCTAATGGCGTGTAAACCCTCCTTTGCCTTTGGAATCTTTGAGTGGGAGCATTAAGAGCTAACACATCATTGACATTGACGTTGTTGTTAGCATTATTGGGCTTGGAAGACGAAGAAGAAGGAGTGTCGTTCTTCATATTTTTCCAAGTGTTGTTGTTGTTGTTGTTGCTACCAATAGTCTTGATCAGTTCATCTATCTTTGAAGGTATTCAAAGGCAAAAACTTCAAGTGCACTTGTACTTATAAGTCAGATTTGCTATAAATAGGCAAACCATCTCTTTCTCCTTGGGAGGATCCACCGAAAATGCAGCTGTTTCTCTCCACCTACTTAGATATGTAGTGAAGCCTTCATTCTTGTAATACCCCGTATTTTTTAGTCATTAAATATGGATTTTCCGAAATATTTTATCATACAAAATATTTATATAATAATTTATACCTATATTTTAAAATGATTTTAATTATACGAAGTCAAAGTTTGTCGTATCCAAATCAAATTTTCAACCGTTAATACCCTGTACCCGATTTAGACGACAAAGTACCAAATTCGCTACTTATACATGAGTCCAATTCATATGTGTAGTACATTAGTACTACACAAAAATAGTACATCAATTTACCTAGCATAACATTCTACTTCTATGTATTTTTTTTTAAAAATAAAATAAAATAATGTTTGTTTTGATGTGGGCAAGGTGGGAGTTAATTACCCACTTGCCTCCTTCTTTAATACTAATGTTGAAGCATTCCCCAATTTTCCTATAAATAGCCATGAATCCATCTCCTTCCAAACCATCAACTCCTTCTTTCCTCTTCATTTCTTTCTTTCATTCTAGCTTCTTTCATTCTAGCTTCTTTCTTTCATCAAGAGTTGGCTGGAATTCCACCATTACCGCCACCTAGCGTCAACGGCCACCGACCACCACAAGAGCAGCCCCCTCCTTCCTTGTATTACACCGTAAGCCATATACTTCTTTGTCTAGTACTACTACTACTGCTTCTTCTTCTTCTTCTTCTTATTATTATTATTATTATTATTATTATTATTATTATTATTATAAGCATGACTAGTACTCCTATTTTATACTACTAGACTACTACTACTCACTACTACTTACAAAAGTAGTACTACTACCTTATTATTATTATTATTATTATTATTATTATTATTATTATTATTATTATTATTATTATTATTATTATTATTATTATTATTATTATTATTATTATTATTATTATTATTACGGATCATTAAAGATTATTTCTTAAATAGAAGTGTTAATTTTATAAAAAGGTTATGATAATAAATTGTTCATGCACAACTAGTCAAAGTCGATAGTCTAAGTCCTTGTGTCTAAGGGTTGAAAAGTATTTGATTAGGATTATTGGTTTGTTATGGGAGGAATTTCGAGTTCAAAATTAGGAGTTCCGTACTTGTGTGCAAGGAGCAAGGTACGTACACGTGGCTCGATCTTTTAAAAAGTGACTTTTATATGCAGCGTGATTTACATGTCAATTGATTTTGAACCATGTTTAAAAGTTTGTGAAATATATTTCGGTAAACCATGTTTTAAGTGTTTAATCTCAAATGTTTAATATTTCATACGGTTTATTATAAACTTGTACTGATATTCAAGATGTTTTAAAAAGGATGTTTTATTGTTTAAATTATCCCGAGTGTGGGATATTGGAAGGTTTCTTTAACAAGATTTACTCCTTGGATCTTTGGATTTTTAACTCCCACTATGTGGAGTAAGTTGAAGACTATGGACTTTGTATGACCTAGTCTTTCCCCTTGATAGCACTATGTAAAGGAGTTACTATCTTGGGGGTGTACACACTTAGATAGGAAAATGATTTATGAAAATATGGGCTGATCCATCCTATTCGGAATTATCTTTGGAAAGTTGGTTATTTCGGAAATTGGTTCTTTTGACAAGTTTTTATACATGAATATATATTCAGGAATGGTTTGGATAATTTATGATTTATTAAAGTTAAGTTTTTTCGAAAGCATGTTTAATTAATTAAATTGATTTTACATGTCTAGCATTTGGATGTACTTAGCATTTTGGCTAATATGTATTTGTTTTGCTTTGGGCTTGGCCCTACTTATCATTTTGATAAGTAGATAGGTGGGCGATCGGACAACGTGAACTATATGCTGCATTAGGAATGATGGGCGGTGATCACCTAGTTTAATTTAGTAAACATAGTATTAGTGGTATAGCTACTTTGAAAGTGTATCAAACTATTATTATTACTATTATTATTAAAATATAAGTATTGTTTTCCGCTGCAAAACTCTGTTAAGCCTTACGTAATCACGTGGTGGTAATACTCCCATGATACTCCATAAAGTTGAATCAATATTGTTAATATTAAAGGGTAATATGGGGGTGTTACAAAGTGGTATCAGTTTTCGGGTCTTAAAAAGATAAAAATTGGAATATAAAGCTGACGGGTAGACCTAAGAAGGGCATATAGGATAGAGTTTCACTTTCGTTTTTTCCGAAAATATATATTAAGTATGTATTTAAGTAAAAACTACTTTCTATTTTAATACGGAAAAAGATTAATAATGGGGATTATTGGATTGACAATGAGCTCTGGCTAAGGCAGGATTTGGGCTCTGGCCAACGTCGACCCTAACCTCTCCTACCTAGGATCTCATTGGTCCAATTAATCAACATTATGAATCAAGTATTCAACTTATAACTATATATAATATTTTTGAAATTAAAAGAATTTGAAACGTATTCAAAAAGTAATTTCAAACTTTACGTGAATTATTTGCATATGGACTATGCAAACGTCCAAACTATATTTTAGAATACAAAGGTTTGAAAAAAAATTCGAATTGCATTGAGATTGGTAGTCTTTTGGGAATTTTATATCCCAAGGTATATTAGTGAAGGTTTATGGATTATTCGATAATTATTCCTAAATTGGAAAAGGATTGGGAGGTGAATTGCACTCTTAAGTAAATTATATGATGAAGTGTTTTGTTAATTTGTGTGTTATAATTGCATGCAAATTATGATAAAATCTTGTGATGATTTATTTTGAGATGCTATCTAGAGTTTCTTTTAAATGGCAATTTAAACTTACCAATTAAGTTGATAAAACGTTTAGTATCTTGTGAACAGTAATCACAATCTTGAGTCTTAGATGGTAGATGAATAATTTGTTTGTAAATTCATGTGTCTAATTACCACATTATTCAGGATTATGTCTCTAAGGCAACGAATTAAGAAGGGGAGTAAGTCCAAAGTCAGCTCTATCATCAAAAGGCTAACCAAAATAACCGAAAACATAGCCGGTATTGTCTTAAACTAGGGAAAAGCCCATAATGACCTTGATTCTTTTGGGGATGTTTTTAAGAGAGTAGCTACGGCCAAATCACCCACTTACTTTGGCAAGGTAGACCCAGCAAACTTAGAAAATTGGGTGAGAAAGTTTAATAAACTTTTTGATGCTATAAATTGTCCTGAAGAATTAAAAGTCAATAATGTTGTTTATTACCTTAGAGAGGAAGCCGATTTATGGTGGATTCAAAGGAGGAATGAATTACTGAGTATTCCTAACTTTTGGTGGGCTGAATTTAAGGAGGCTTTAAGAGAGAAGTTTTATCCTTCCTACTTGAGGAAACAAAAGTGTATGGAGTTTACGAACCATAGGATGGGGAACATGACAATTAATGAGTATTATAGCAAGTTCATTGAGTTGATGAGATTTGCACCTAAGGTAGTACCAACTGAAGCACTTAAGGCACAGAGGTTTGAGCAAGGTTTGATTTTGACCCTTCAAGGAAAACTAGGAGGAGTGACCTTTAAAACTTTAGATTAGGTATATGGGAGAGCAGCGCACCTTTATGGGACCAAGGGGAGAGAGCTAGAGGGAAACTATTCCGAGGAAAAGAGGAAGCCTAGTGGGACTTTCAATGGGAGTGAGAAGAAACCCAAAGTTGAGGGGAACCCGAGTGGGAATTTCAATGGGAAAAGGGACAACAAGGGTAATTTTGAAAGAGGGAATAGGAACCGAGGGATTGGAGACAAGCCCAAGAGAACCTATTTTTGCAAGAGATGTACGAAGAACCACCCAGGAAGGGATTGTGAGGGAAACCTAGTGACTTGCCGCTACTGTCAAAAGCTAGGTCACCGTGAGTATGAGTGTTATAAGAAGGTCTCTTATGAGCAGTCAGGTAAACCCCAAGATGAGAAGAACCAACCCAAGCAAGCTGAGCCCAGTGGATTCATTCCTAAGTCAACACCCAACAATAGTGGAGCCGCTCCCAAAGGTCGTGTGTTCGTGATGAACAGTCGTGAGGCTGCAACTAGTTCTGATGTGGTAATTGGCAATTTCTTTATTTGTTCTATGTCTACTAAAGTCTTGTTTAATTCAGGGGCGTCTCACTCTTTTATTTCTAGAAGTTTAGTAGATAGACTCAAGCTAGAGAGTCCGGTGTTTTTTTCCTTAGATATTGCTATCCCGTCAGGGAAAGTGGTGAGTTGCACTAAGATGCATCACGGTGTACCTCTTGTCATTTCAAAAGTAGAATTTCCGTCAGACTTAATCGAGCTTGACTTACAAGATCTTGATGTTATTTTGGGGATGGACTGGTTAGGCAAGTACAAGGCCCAAATTGATTGTGAGGCCCAAAAGGTCACGTTGTTTGGCCCGGGCAAAGTGAGGGTAACCTATCAAAGGGAGGAAAAGAAATCGGGGCTAAAGATCATATCTGCTTTGCAACTTAAAAAGTTTGTAGCAAAAGGAAATCCACTGTATTTGTGTAGTGTCCAACGGATAGAAGAAGGAGATAGAGATGATGGGAAAAATATTTCAGTAGTAAATGAATTTCTCGATGTCTTTCCTCAAGAGATTCCAGGGATGCCGTCAGTGAGAGATGTAGAATTTACTATGGACTTAGTGCCAGGGACATGACCTATTTCAAAGGCTCCATATAGGATGGCCCCGGCTGAGATGAAAGAGCTGAAGACTCAATTAGACGACTTGTTAGAGAAAGGATATATCCGGCCTAGTTCATCACCATGGGGTGAACCAGTTTTGTTCTTGAAGAAGGATGGAAGCTTGAGGTTGTGCATAGATTACCGCGAGTTGAACAATGTGACGATCAAGAATAAGTACCCGCTGCCTAGGATAGATGATTTGTTCGACCAGTTGAAAGGGGCGGGAATATTTTCGAAGATTGATTTGAGGTCAGGGTATCACCAGTTGAGGATAGCAGAGTCGGACTTTGCAAAAAGTGCTTTTAGGACTCGTTATGGTCACTATGAATTCACTGTAATGCCATTTGGGTTAACCAATGCACCTGCTGTTTTCACGGATTTAATGCACCGGATTTTTAGGCCATACTTGGATAAGTTTGTTGTGGTGTTTACCGATGATATTTTGGTGTATTCAAGAAACCCGGAAGAGCATGAGGATCATTTGAGGATGGTATTTTAAACCATGAGAGAGCATCAATTGTATGCCAAACTTTCAAAGTGTGAGTTTTGGTTGGAATAGGTAGCTTTCCTAGGTCATGTGATTTCTAAGGGGGGAGTATCGGTGGATCCAGCAAACGTAAAGGTTGTAAGTTAATGGCCGACCCCAAGGAGTGTGTCAGATGTTTGGAGTTTTCTTGGGTTAGCAGGTTATTATAGGAGATTTGTTAAGGATTTCTCGAGAATTGTAAGGCCGATGACGAGCTTAATTAGGAAAGAATGTAAGTATGAGTGGACTCCAGAGTGTGAGAAGGCTTTTCAGACATTGAAAGAGAAGTTGACTACGACACCTATGTTAGCCCTGCCTGATGTAAGTGAGCAATATGAGGTGTATAGTGATGCGTCAAAGTTCGGGTTAGGTTGTGTGTTGATGCAAAATCGAAAGGTGATTGCTTATGCCTTGAGACAGTTGAAGCCTTATTAGGTGAATTACCCGACCCATGACTTGGATTTAGCTGCAATTGTATTTGCATTGAAGATTTGGAGACACTACTTGTATGGAGTGACATGTAGGATTTTCACCGATCACAAGAGTTTAAAGTACATATTCACTCAAAAGGAGTTGAACAGGAGACAACGACGATGGTTGGAGTTGATTAAGGATTATGACTTGGAGATTCAGTATCATGAAGGGAAAGCAAATGTTGTAGTTGATGCATTAAGTAGGAAGTCAAGTCATACAGTTAACGCAATGATCTTACCAGATCAATTATGTGTGGAGTTCCAAAAGATGAATTTGGAAGTATTGGAACAGGGAGAGGTGAAGAAAATTTTGAGTTCCTTGTTGAGCAAACCGTCAATGTATGATGAGATTCGAGAAAGTCAGCCTGGGGACGAGAAGTTGAACAAGATTAAAGAAAAGATCGAGGAAGGGCAAATATTGGACTGTGCAATAGCCGATGATGGAAGCATGAGGTTTAAAGGGAGATAGTGTGTTCCACATAATCGAGGTTATTTGAAGAAGAATTTGATGGAGGAAGCTCATAGTTCTCCTTATTCAATGCATCCCAGAGGGGATAACTTGTATAAGGACATGAAAAATACATTATGGTGGCCGAACATGAAAAGGGAAGTAGCAGAATTTGTGGCTAGATGTTTAACTTGTCAAAAGGTCAAGATCGAGCATAAGAGACCCCAAGGAACAGTACAATCCTTGGAGGTGCCTAGTTGGAAGTGGGATTCGATCTTTATGGATTTCGTGGGAGCCTTACCCAAGACTCGAGTAGGAAATAATACAATTTGGGTCATAGTGGATCGACTAACGAAATGTGCAACATTCATACCCATGAGGAGTACATGGTCGATAGATCAATTGGGAAGAGCGTATGTGAAATTTGTGGTGAAATACCATGGTGTGCCCAAGGACAACATCTCGGATAGAGACTCAAGGTTCTTATCCAATTTCTGGCAGAGTTTACAAAAGGCTATGGGGACTAACTTGTTGATGAGCACTGCATTCCACCCCGCAACCGATGGTCAAACAGAGAGAACAATAGAGACATTAGAGGATATGTTGAGATCATGTGTCATGGAGTACTAGGGTTCATGGGAAGATCATTTGGACTTGATAGAATTTTCCTACAACAACAGTTATCGTGCAAGCATTGGGATGGCGCCATTTGAGGCTTTGTATGGGAGAAAGTGTAGAAGCCCGATATGTTGGAATGACATAAGTGAGACAGTTACACTGGGGTTAGAGATGATCGAAGAGACGGTGAAACAAGTAAAGATGATTCAAGAGAAAATTAAAGCCGCACAAGATCGTCAAAAGATTTATGCGAATTTGAAGAGGAGGGATGAGGAATACGAAGTAAGTGAGAAAGTTTTATTGAAAATATCTCCGATGAAGGGAGTGATGAGGTTCGGGAAAAGAGGAAAGTTAATCCCGAAGTATATTGGACCATACGAGATCATCCAGAAGGTGGGAAAAGTAGCATACAAGTTGGATTTACCTAACGAGTTAGAGAGAGTTCACAATGTGTTCCATGTGAGCCAAATTCGGAAGTACATACCAGACGTTCGTTTCTAATGTCTTACAGCCTGAGACCATCGATATGTTGACTTATGAGGAAAGACCTGTGAAGATTTTGGATAGTAAAGTGAGAAGCACTAGGAACAAGGATGTTAAGATAGTTAAGGTTTTATGGTCAAACCATAAAACCGAGGAAGCTACTTGGGAAGCCGAAGTAGATATGAGGAAAAGATATCCATAATTGTTTTCTAAGGTTAGTAGTCGAGTTACGGGGGCGTAACTCCTTTTAAGGAGGGTAGAATGCGATAGAGGTTTGTGCTTTTGACCCTTTTTGGTTAGTTTTGAGTCATTTTGAGTTGTTATGCGTTATACCTAAGTCATAGTTTGAGTTTTTCCAAATCATTGTAGGTTGTGCATGAGTCAATTTGAACAATTTAAAAAAATTTACTTATTTTCAACTTAAGTTTAGAGGTCGAAACTTCTTTTAAGGGAGGTAGACTGTAATACCCCGTATTTTTAAGTCATTAAATATGGATTTTCCGAAATATTTTATCATACAAAATATTTATATGATAATTTATACCTATATTTTATAATGATTTAATTATACGAAGTCAAAGTTTGTCGTATCCAAATCAAATTTTCAACCGTTAATACCCTGTACCTTATTTAGATGACAAAGTACCAAATTCGCTACTTATACACGAGTCCAATTCATATGTGTAGTAAATTATTACTACACAAAAATAGTACATCAATTTACCTAGCTTAACATTCTACTTCTATATATTTAAAAAAATAATAATAAAATAAAATGTTTGTTTTGATGTCGGCAAGGTGGGAGTTAATTACCCACTTGCCTCCTTCATTAATACTAAGGTTGAAGCATTCCCCTATTTTCCTATAAATATCCATGAATCCATCTCCTTCCAAACCATCTCCTCCTTTCCTCTTCATTTCTTTTTTTCATTCTAGCTTCTTTCAATCTAGCTTCTTTATTTCATCAAGAGTTGGCCGGAATTCCACCATTACCGCCGCCTACCGTCGACGGCCACCGACCACCACAAGAGCAACTCCCTCCTTCCTTGTATTGCATTGTAAGCCATATACTTCTTTCTCTAGTACTACTAGTACTGCTTCTTCTTCTTCTTCTTCTTCTTATTATTATTATTATTATTATTATTATTATTATTATTATTATTATTATTATTATTATTATTATTATTATTATTATTTCTATTATTATTATCATTGTTGTTGTTGTTGTAAGTATTGTAGTTCTTGTTGTTGATATTTTTGCTACTACTACTACTACCTACGTACTACCTTCTTCTTCTTCTTCTTCATCTTCTTCTTCTTATTATTATTATTATTATTATTATTATTATTATTATTATTATTATTATAATAAGCATGACTAGTACTCCTATTTTATACTACTAGACTACTACTACACACTACCACTTACGAAGTAGTACTACTACCATATTATTATTATTATTATTATTATTATTATTATTATTATTATTATTATTATTATTATTATTATGGATCATTAAAGATTATTTCATAAATACAAGTGTTAATTTTATAAAAAGGTTATGATAATAAATTGTTCATGATGCACAACTAGTCAAAGTCGATAGTCTAAGTCCTTATGTCTATGGGTTGAAAAGTATTTGATTAGGATTATTGGTTTGTTATAGAAGGAATTTCGGGTTCAAAATTAGGAGTTCTGTACTTGTGTGCAATGATCAAGGTACGTACACGTGGCTAGATCTTTTAAAAAGTGACTTTCATATGCAGCGTGATTGACATGTTAATTGATTTCGTACCATGTTTAAATGTTTGTGAAATATATTTCGGTGAAACATGTTTTAAGTGTTTGATCTCAAATGTTTAAATATTTCATACGGTTGATTATAAACTTGTACTGATATTCAAGACGTTTTAAAAAGGAAGTTTTATTGTTTAAATTATCCCGAGTATGGGATATTAGAAGGTTTATTTAACAAGATTTACTCCTTGGATCTTTGGATTTTTAACGCCCACTATGCGGATTAAGTTTAAAACTCTGGACTTTGTATGACCTAGTCTTTCCCCTTGATAGCACTATGTAAAGGAGTTACTAGCTTGGGGGGTGTGCACACTTAGATGGGAAAATGATTTATGAAAATACGAACTGATCCATCCTATTCGGAATTATCTTTGGAAAGTTGGTTATTTCAAAAATTGGTTCTTTTGTCAAGTTTTTATACATGAATTTCTATTCAGGAATGGTTTGGATAATTTATGATTTATTAAAGTTAAATCTTTTCGAAAGCATATTTAATTAATGAAAATGATTTTACATGTCTAGCATTTGTGTGTACTTAGCATTTTGGCTAATACGTATTTGTTTTGTTTTGGCTTGGCCCTACTTATCATTTTGATAAGTAGATAGGTGATGGCGATCGGACAACGTG